ATCTTTCACTTTTGCAATATCACATGCCAGACTACACCACAGAAGCATGCAAATCTGAATACAATCAGTCCAATCCCTTGAGAGATTCCATATAAAAGTGCAAGTGATGTCCTGGCCTTTTTCGTCTTGCAAAGGGGTGCTTTTCCAGCCTCTGCCACCAACAATCAAGTTGATAGACACTTCTCATCTAGGGTGGGAAATTGTATCAACTATGGATTATAGTTGTCCCAAAGGCAACCCTTCATGTATCTTTTCTTGAACAGAGAGCCATCAGACAGCTCTGCAAAGAACTTCCTCCCCTACATCCATGTGCAAGTGGTGACAGGTCGTATCACTTCTATGTTTTACATAAACAAGCGGGGAGGCATTAAGTCCTACCCTCTCAAGGAACTTCTACCACTATGGCATTGGTATATCCACCATCAAATTCACCTCTCCACAGTTGATTTGCCTGGTTTGTACCACATGAGAGCAGATCACCCTTTCCATTTATCTTCTGTTTGGGGCTTTCTTGAGGATAGATCTGCTCTCAACAGAGAGGAACATAAAGTATCAGTTTTTTCTTTTCTAAAGCCAGGCTCAGAAAACTCTGTTTTTTTTCAGTACAGTGGTGGAAGGGTATCATGCCTGCCTTCCTCTGCTCCTAATTTCTTGAGTCATCAGCAATGTGAAGAAATATCAAACTCAGGTCATCTTGCTACCGTGAGCCTGGCCAAGACAACCTTGGTTCCTGGACCTCCTGCTGTTAACCAAGTTGTACTGCATCCCTCTATCACTGCTTCCCAACTCTCAAGACAGTGGCAGGCCACTTCACCTGTACTCTTTTTGCCTGACTGATGGGTGATTCATAGATATAACGGGACTACTCTGATCCTGTTAAGGATTGCCTTTTCCACAGCAGGAAGGTTTCTACCATACACACCTAGCACACTTGTCTGCCTGGTGTGGAAGAACAGTATCTCTGCAATTTGTCTTCCATTCCCTCTGCTTGGATTACCACTTTGCATTCTCCTATATCTGAAGAAAGGTGTGTGTGTTTGAAAACTTGCAAATAAAGAAACTTTTTTTGCAAATATCTAGTTGGTCTAATAAAAGATGGTCTACCCAGAGTTCTGATTCTTTTTGCCTGTAGACCAATACAGTTACAACCTGTATCCCTGAAATATGAAAGATATCAAAATTAGTCATTTTTAAAATGAAAGCTTCATAATTTTACAAGGAAGCAAAATTCAACACCTTGAAACCTGAAAGTGGACACCTTTGCTCCTGCTTTTTGTTACGAGCCAAATTTGCAAGCTCAGAGAGCTGCCTCAACACACAAGAAATTCCTTGCCCAGGACAGCCTTCTATCAACCTATCCTCCTGTGAAATATGAAGCATCATAACCAGAAGGAAACATAATTTAACATCCTGCTTGCCATCAGACAACTTTGAGGTAAATAGACTGCTCTAGCTTTTATTGCAGCCTAATTTGCATGAAATGAACTTTTCCAACCAGGAAATCATACAACACTTTCAGCTCTCCTGTGAAATATGAATTTTCATTTCCACCTAGGAGAAATTTTACAGTCTCTGCATTCTTCTGTACCTGAAGAAGGGTATGCGCCCAAAAGCTTGCAAATATTTATATGTATTTTTTTGCAAATATCTAGTTAGTCTAATAAAAGTATCACCTCTACCCAGAGTTCTGATACCTTTTGTCTGTAGACCAATATGGCTACAACCTGTATCCCTGGATTACCTCTTCGTACTGAGGAACTTGAATTTACCCCTTAGTTCAGTCAAGTTTTATTTAGCAAGTAGCTTGGCCTGTCTGCTAAGTTTGCATGTCAAGGGCCATCTTTTTCATTCCGTCTCCCTGAGATACCTAAAGGGGTTGGCTACAACCTTTTTGTGCATAAAGAACCTGGCACCACAGTTACTAATATGTTTGGTGTTTGAGCCAGTGGCATCCCATTCACTTTTCTATGAAGAGGGCCTTCTTGGAGGCTACTGTTTCAGCAAGAAACATAAGTGAAATCCATGCCCTGATGTCACTTTTACCTTACTCTTCCTCCATTTGGGTTGCTGCTGCATACTCACCCTAAGTTCCTGCTAACGATTATTTCTGAATTCCATATTAAATAATTTTCCTGGCTGGTCGTCTTTTATTAAGCCACATCCTTCTTTTACTAAGCCATATGTGTATATATATATGAAGAGACATGCTCCTGTGCCAAAGTAAAGAGCTGTAGTCTGTTACCTAGAAGCAAAACCTTTAGGAGATCTCTTATTTGCTGTCATACTGGAGACCCAAGGACTCAATTATTTCCTCCCCAAACCTCAAAGTGGATTTTTAGTTTTATCAAACTTTGTTATTGTGTGTGATATTCAGATGTGCTAAGGCTAAACTTTTTGTTGCTGAATCTGCTGATAGCAACTGACTCATAGTTTTTGACCTTATGGTTATAATATATTCTGTGCTGGCTAGCATGACCAGTGGCTTGAGTTCACATACTTTTTGCTACACTTGGGCAAATAAAACAGATTTGAGGTAGAGAAGGTGGACCTACTTTCTGTGGTTGGGCCCTGGTGGAATGAGTTCAGGATTGCGTGTATTGGTTCCATTGTAGAGGTGGGCAAAATATAGCTCATGAGCTATATTTAGCTCACCAACTGATCATATCTGGCCCTTTTGGGTGCTGCTGGAAGCCTGAGGAGGCAGGGCTATGCCCTGTGCTGCTCCGCTTTACAAGTATTACCCTGCTACTGAGTTTATTAGTTTAATGCACCCTAATAGGGGCACTTGTGTAGACGCGCCCACTGTGTGCTAACGGCTTAAGTGCAAGTGATGATCACCAAAAGGGTTCTTGACTAAGAAGTCTTAGAGCATTTTGAAATCTTTAAAAAGTTTATAACCTGAGGGGGGTGTATTGAGAAGCCCTATTTTTCATAGAAACCTGTACATTGGAGAACATGGGGGGAGGGGCGGGGGAGAGGCAGGGATGACAAACAATCGTCACAGCTTGATGTGCAGGTCAGGGGTTACATGCAGGCAGCACATGCAAGTTGGACAGTCCTGCTTTAAATAACTAAAAACCTGACTTCGAGAGACTTGTTGAAGTTCACATCAGTCTCTAGTAGATCAGGGAATTCTGTGTTTATCCCGAGCACCACAGTCCTTCTGCTTTACTTGTGGCAGGTTAGGGTGATATATTTTTTCACTCATGGTAAAGCTCCCTGCGTAGTCTTAGTAAGAGATTAGACCAGGGGTTCCCAAACAGTGGTCTTGCATACCTCCAGGGGTATGCACATATCTCTGGGGGGCTTTTGGGAGAAATTGTATAATGGCTGACTTTTCATTATAATTGGCGTTTAAAGGGTTAAAACATGTGCTGATAGGGGTACACAGGCAGCTGGTAAATCTGGAAAGGGGTACGTAGTAAGAAAAAGCCATGGGCTAGACAAAAACTTGCTTGGGACTATTTGGACAGGGATGATCTCGCCTAGATGACCTCTAGGCTGGGGGTCCCTTCCAGTACTACTTTTCTGATTGTTTATCATTTAACCTGTCAGTCCATTACTTTGCATCTTGTCTATACTACGAGCTGAATTTCAGTTCAGAACGTTTCCTACTGTCAAACACTAACATAGGGCTTCTGAGCCCTAAGAACATCTTTTGCCACTGTTGATGGCTTTTGTTAATTTAAATGTTAACATAAATTATCAAATTTTTTTATAGACCCATCTTGCTTGGGAAAGAAAGGAATCTAGGTAGCAGCATTTAAGTACATAACTTTCCCAAATTTGGAACAATATTAACTTTTTAGTATTTTTTCCTCAAATTTTTTTAATTAAAAATGTATATAATCTACCCTGTCCAAAAGGCTGAGTAAAAACAGCTTTTCCAAATACTTACTTACAGCAGGAAAAAAAAAGTTTTTCTAGTCTGTAAGTATAGGGAAATGCTTAACAGTGGCATAATAGCTATATAAACTTATATAGCATACGTACTTATTTACTAAGGTTGATTTTCTTTAATTTGGTTCTCAACCTTTCTAGATTCAAGGCACCTCAAAAAAATCCAAGCTCTTACCTTTCACTAGTTTCTTGTCTACAAAACAGAACTCTTTTGCTGCAAAAAACTCAGAATGTTCTTGACAGTTACATTTTTTTTTCTCTGGGCTTGTGAATTTTGCTTAGGCAGTTGCATACCTAATATTGTTCAGTCTCCATAAGAGGATCGCCTGGCACCTTAGTTGAGAATCACTGTACTGAGTGTGCCTACAGTGAAAACAGAATTAACCCCATCTAAAATTATGACCTAAGGCACAATTTTAAAACCTGGTTTTGTAGGGGGTGGGGTAAAAATTACACAGCTGCAAAATCCTAGCGCCCATTATTTCATAATGTAAACATGTTATGAAGTAATTGAACTATTGTACTAGAGGAGTATGACAAAATTACTAGCCGTTAGACTGGATGTCATTTCTGCCCTTTTCACTGGGGTTGAGAACCTATGTTAAACCTGACTAGATAGAGCCTACAATGAACTAAAATAAGTGATAAACTATTATTTACCACATGAGTTTTAGGACTGGCTGCTAGCTGGCTATTACACAACCGTTCAGACAAAACTTCAAAAGCCACCTCTGACTGGAAACCTGAGAAGTGCCAGCAACATTCAAACCTAATTTGTTATTAAAAGAAAACTACCAGTCACAGAATTCTACTCCAAAAAGTGGTTATAAATTAACAAAGGTACAAGAACAGTGTCATAAGTAAATGTTATGTTGATACCTTCATCTCTTGAGGAAACACTGAATTCAAGCCCCACCAATTATTAACGTTACAGTAGTAGCTAGCAATGCTACTTACACCTAGGGCCTTGCAAGGGTACTGACTAAGTAAAGTACTATTGCAAAAGGGCTTACAAGCAAAACTAAGTTCTTGACTGTAGCAGAATGTTCCTTCTGGATGGTTATGCATGCTTGCAGTTTAAAGAAAGTAACAACAGAAAGTCATGTACATCATTTTATTACAAAAGTTGTTAAAAAAAGTAATACAAGGCAGTATCCTACAAAATATAAGATCAGCTATTATGCTACCTTCTTTGTTTGACTTTGCTAAAAACAAACAAAAAAAACCCAAGAAAAGAAACAAGGTATCAGGCTAAAAGTCACTGAATTTCAAAAAAACCATTAAATATGCAAAAAACATTCGACATCAGGTCCTCCCTCCGCCCCAAACTGAAGTGTAGCAGCCCTCAGCTACCACTTACATTAAAAAATATAGGTCTCCCTACAGAGAATCACATTACCTATACACAATTCTGTACAGTTTTTATACTGAAGCTAATGAGCTGCACTTGAGTTCACATTCTTAGCAAAACATTGGGCTTTGAGCAGAAATCTTTACAGCAGAAGAACTATTTACTCCTCGTCCTCTTCCTCCTCCTCCTCCTCGTCATCATCTTCCTCCTCCTCATCCTCTTCTTCTGGCTCTGCCTTCTTCTTAGATCCTGCAGGCCTACCTGGACCCTTTTTCCCCGCATCACTCTTGCTCTTGGCACGATATGCTGCAATATCCTAAAAAAATAAAGACACTGAGTTTCTGGTAACAGAAGTTTTATAAATGCTAGTTTAATACCAGTTTTAAAAGATTTTGTTAGTATACTGGATAGCAAGATGCATGTAAAACACATGAGGATACAAGTCATGTTTGCCACTTAAGACTCCTGTGCTTTCACCTGGGTTCAGGCATTCAGGCCATGTATTATGGAGGCATTTATGGAAGTGGTCACAGATGCATTTCTGTTTTAATTTGCAGTTGCAGTATGGAAGAGAGAAAGCCACCAAGTTAAATGATTTGTTTTACTTTCCCCCATACAAGGCTTAAAATCTTCAGATCAATACACCACCTTCCTTGGGGCTAATGACTAGGCATTTTGACCATTCTTCAGTTTCAAACATCACACAGTGTTTATGACTGCAACTGAGCCAAGTGCAGTTTTGGGTACAGCAGGGTGAATGCTGCCATCTCATTTCTAACTGCTCAGCCTGTGCATTCCTGGCTGTTTTCACCATACCTTTTCGTATTTCTCCTTTAGTTTTGCTGCTTTCTGTTCATATGGCTGTTTATCTTTGGCTGACTGCTCAGACCACATTTCACCTAGCTTCTTGGCTGTGTCCCCAATAGACAGGCCAGGATGTTCCGTCTTGATCTTTGGGCGATGCTCGGAACAGAAGAGGAAGAAGGCAGATCTAAGGAGAGGGAGGGGAAAAAACCCAACCATGTTTCACGCGGGTGAAAATGGAGAACGCCCACTCCCTCCTCCTCCCTCCAGGATGACAACTTACGGTGGCCTTTTGGGGGCATTGGGGTCCTTTTTCTTTCCCTTCTTCTCGCCTTTGGGGGGAACGTAATTCTTCATCTCCCTGTCATAACGAGCTTTGTCTCCTTTTGCCATTTCCTCGAACTTGCCCTTCTCCTTGCCGGACATGGTCTGCGAGAGCCGAGCAGGGAGGAGGGATCAGAGCCGCGGCAGGGCCCGCCCGCCCGCCTCCAGCGCCCACCCCCGGCAGCTGCTGCCCAGGCAGCGCCTGCTCTCCTCTCCTCTCCTGTCCCCGCCCGGCCGGGCCCGGCCCGCGCTCACCTTCCACCGCTCCGAGCACTTCCGCGAGAACTCAGCGAAGTTGACGGAGGAGTCTGGGTGCTTCTTCTTGTGCTCCTCGCGGCATGTCTGCACGAAGTAGGCGTACGAAGACATCTTGCCCCGCGGCTTGTTGGGGTCGCCCTTGCCCATGGCGGCGGCGGGTCCCTGCACGCGGAGCACAGCAACGGGCGGCGCGTCACGGGGCAGCAGCCCCTCCCCCACCCGCGGCTTCCCGCCTAAACACGCCCCCGCGGCCCCTCCTCGCCCCACCCCAGCCGCTGGCAC